TTCAAATTTGAGTTTATTCATACCTAATTTAAATTTATTTCTGTAAGGTCTGAGTTTCTATAGTTTGAATTAGTATAATTATATAGTTATAGTATTAGTGCACTATTTGTTTGATAATATAGTTTCTAAAGTTATTTAAACATAAAATATGTAAGACAAATTTATAAAAAAAACTAACAGATAGAAAGAGTATTTTTGAAAATCTGAATAAGCTAAATAAATAATATATTTGAAATATTGTTTTTGGTATACAAACAATGTTACAGTTGGGGATAAATTTATTATTTGCACCATTTTAACACGATTTTAGCTGCAAAAAATGGTGTTGGGATAAAGATGGTCTAAGCCTTAACATATTATTTTGAAAGTCATGATATCTTTAGTGTGCTTACAACGATCCATGGAAGAGATTCCAAATGTTAGGATGTCTTGGGGTCAAAACTTAAGTTCTCTTAATCGATGGTGTTCTATAACTTACTGATCATGTTTTGACATTAGATCGATGCGCGTGAGACTGTTAGAGATACGCTTTCCCTTTTATACAAATGTATGGCTACGTATGTCATTTAACAAGAATTATCAAATACATGTGATGATACTCCAACTTTTGTCAAATAAATAGTCAAAGTATGTAAAGAAAGGGATGTAAAATAAATAGTAATATTCGAAAAAGCATAGATGTAAAATATGTACGTATATTGTAAGAACTTTTTTTCTTTTGACATATGTTATTTAAAGAATAAAATGGCAAAGAAAGTGATTTCTTTGTGAACATTGTTGGGCTATTTTCATCATAAGCTGTCAATACCATTTTCTATATTAAAATCACAATATATATATAGGGTCCTATTAATTGGACCCCAGATTTTCTTAGAGGACCCCTCATTAATGATTTTTTAGACATAAATTTCCGTGCATTTATAATATCAATAGCTTGTATGATTACTAAAAGTTATTTTTTTTTTAACTCGTACCTATCATTTAATTCCTATAAACTTTTTATTTATTATATATTTTATTCTTTATAATCAAATAATAATACAACATGTCAACGTTTTCTATATATTTTAATATTTTCTATATTTTAATATTTATATAAACCAAAAAATAAAAATAAAATGATATTAAATATTTAAATGAAAACTAAGTATTATTATTATATCGTATTTGAAGTCACTTATTATTATGCTTTTATATAAAAATGATCTTGATAAATTGCACTAAAAAACCGAAAAAAAATTAAATTTTTTTGTTTAAAATATTTTATTTTATATTTTTGAAAAAAAATAAATATATTTTTATTTTAATACTTTTTTATAAAAATGATATTTTTTTTTTCTATAAACAAATATTTATATTGGGCCCTTTTATTATGTAATGATTAGTTTTATTTAAAGTAAAATATAAAATAATCATGAGAGTCTAATATTATGTAATGATAATTAATAAAAAGATAATTATTTGGTAATGATTAGCTTATTTTAGGAAAAAAGTTAAAGTAATTATTAAGGGGTGCTTTAAGAAAATAAAAAGGGTCCAAATAGCTTAACCCATATCTATATTGGTATACCTATAAAAATACAGCATTAACTTTACATACAAGTTGCGTTAAAAATAATCACTGTAAAATATTTATAACATTAGTCTTAATCTACCACTTTATTATATTTATCATTATTATGGAACTAACAGTAATACTTTTAGTAAACTTATATTTATCTTAAAAACGAAAGATTACATAAAAGAATGCTCAGTTATTTATATTTTACCTTTTTCAAATCATCCAACCTTTACAAAATCACGACCTTTTATAAAATTCAGTGAGGAAGAAAACATACAACAAATAGAGTTTTGGGAAATTGTGATCGTTTTCAATTAATTTAAAGTTGTCATAACTCGCCTTAAAATAATAAATAATCGCTCAAAAGTTTGTGCCAATTTATTTGTCTTATGTACAAGTTTTTGTTTTTTTGTTTGCTAAAAATATTTTATCTTGAATTAAGATTTAAAAAAAACAACAACAACAAATGTTTAAATATGTTACTCCAGCCAATCCATTACACGTTTAAGATCTTTTTAATGTATGCTGGCACAAATGTTTTCCTCTACGGTGAGTATAGAATATAAAACTATATGGTTCACTAATTTTACTATAAAAAGTTTTCTATACAAATTCACATATTTTATATGTAAGGTAGTTCCTAATTTTTTTTTTAAGGTAGCTCACTACAAATTTTCTATAAAATTTTTAGATAAATTAAAAAAATTAAATGGCTCATTGGACCCACATTAGTTAGACTTAGCCTCGCCACTCTCTAGAATAAACAACTTGAGAAAGGCTTTTTTTTTTTTCAGGAAAAATATATATAAACAAACTCGTAGATTACAAAGTATGATGATAATAAACATTTACATAGAAATTATATAGATTTATTTAATTATAACCATACCATCTAGAGTAAATAGTTAGTTAAAATGGTAACTTTTCTTTCCTGATAAATTTTGACTTTGCTTTTTTCTGTTCATGATGCTTTAAATCCACCGATGATATATGTTATCTACATTAGGTGTAAAACTCGTGTATTACACGAGTTGATTAAAAAAAATAAAATATTAAAATGTAATAATAATTATTTTTTAAAATAAAATTTTGAAATAAGGAATGAAGAAACATATTATCTGCAATTTAATATAATATTTATTATATTTATACTTTACATATATAACTATAAGTATTATGTGGCTTTTTAATTTTAAAAATTAGAAAAACCCATAAATTGACATGTGGATATTATTTATTTTAAAAATTATCCCAAAATGATAAGTGTCAAAAACTTATTGGATATTGACATGTGGCAAAATTATCTTCATTTATTATAGTAGATTGGTATAATATTAATGCAAAACTATAAATATATGGTCTGTTTTTATCTTGTGAATTCACCTTTTTCCCCTAATATATTTTACCATAACTTGTTAGTCTTTTATTTCCCATTCGAAAAAAATACAATAGCCAATTTTACAAGAACATAATAATAACTTTAGATATTATTTAGCCCTTTTAGAATTTAATAACTTTTAACTTTCATTATATCAATTAAATTTGATTTATTTACCTATAATAAATCAAGGATAATGATTATAATATGAACATTATAGACATTAAATCATTCCTCTCCTTACACTCATGAAAATATTAATAATGCTACTTAATTTATTTAAAGCTAGAAACTAATGTAATTATGAAAAATAAATACATATTAACCACACGTTTTTATTTTATTTGCAAAGGGTATCTTAAATGAACCCTTAAGACTGAGAAAATGGTGGTGTGCATATTATATTATCCCATCATTTTTTTACATGTCACCTAAGCAGAAGCGGGCCTATTTGGAGTCTCAGAAGGGCACGAGTAACTCCTTAAATTTTACCGCCATGTCACGAATCGGTTATTGCGTCTTAGAGTAGAAGCCCAAGTTCGAACTTGGGCAAATGAGTTTCTAACTTTTTAGTTACTAACATACTAACCATCTCATATGCATTAAAAAATAAGTCACGAATCAGTTGAAAAACACTCTTTCTCCACCCTTTTTGTACTCTCTCTTTTCTCTCATTTCGATAAGCTGCTAACGAGGAATGCTTGGCTCACCCCCTTAGTGTAGGGATGAGTGTTTGGACCGAAAACTCGAACTGTAACTGAAACTCGAATTAGGATTGAATAAGCTATTCGAGTCGGTTCTCATGTATGTATTTTAGGCATATTCGGTTTTCGAGTTATTTGGTCCAACTTACCCAAATAATGTCTTAATCGGGCCTAAATGATCGAATCAGAAATTGAAAAGTCATAATTAGGGCAATTTCGAACTGTCATAGCGTCTTCGTTATTTGTCTCATTTGCTCAATCTTTTTTTATCAGCTTGTAGTTAACAATTTAAACTACTGTTTACATATTTTACGTGCATTTTTTTGGTTATATATTCAATGAGATACAATCTCCTAAACATGGGGTATTAAAGTTGTATTTTTTTAAACAAACATTTACTTTATTGTAATAGATCATACATATATTCGAGACGTTTTGTCCCCCTAGAAGAAGATCTTAATATTTGTAGAGCTATGGTTGGATCATTCGACCCACATTTTTATTTAAATAATTTGACTTCTTTTGATTATTGTAAATGTTATCTTGTTTATTCGGGTTATTCTGTTCTTTTTTGTACTATTCGGTCTTTAATTATATTGTAAATGTTATTCGGTTTATTCAGGTAACAACCGAATCAGACCGATTAATACTTGAACCGAATCGGACTCGTATTAGTTTAATCGGTCCGGTTTTTGATTCCTCCAAATATTCTTATTCGTTTTTTCGGTTTATTCAGGTTCGGATCGGTTCTATCCGGTTGCGACCCGAATAACATCCTTACTTAGCACGCTCTAAGGGGAGTGTTCTGCGCATGTCAAAAGCTTGACGATTCACACACCCACTCCATGTAGTCTAATAAATGTGACATATATGTGTGGCACACAACACACGTGTCTCATCAATATGAGTTTATTTACCCACACTAACATTAAAAAGGATCTTTTTTAATTTAAAAAATATGCATATCAAATATTTAATTAAAAAAAAAAGCCAATATTTTTTTTTACATAGAATTTACCCTGCAAAAAAAATGTATATATAACAGAAAAAAAAAAAAAAAAAAAAAAGCGTTATAGTGACGCACGCGTGCTGATGGGTCCTTTTCTTCCATTTCAGGTATATACTTTAAGTCCCACATCATTAAATTACATGGACTTCACTACCCCTTTGGAAAATCCAAGAATCAAGATTTGCATTTGCATTTGCATGCCCCAAACCAAAACTTCCCTTACAAAAATCATCTAAAAAACTTCGCATAAAACCCTCTTCCCCATATTCCCAATTCCCAGACACAACCACACTGATGATAATGCGATCTTTTTTAGCTTGAAACAGCACCAAGAATTCAAGATTTCTGATGGGTCGTGAATTAGAAACCTACCCATCTGAAACTACCACCGGAATCAGCAAAAGAAACAGCCGGAACCAACTGGACGACGGCGGAGGTGTGGAGTGGTCCGGGAAGTCTTGCCGATCTTGCACAGGGAGGGTGATCGCCGACTGCGTTGCGGTGTGTTGCTGCCCATGCGCCGTCGTCAACTTTTTCACACTCACATTTCTCAAGCTTCCATGGATGATGGGGAAGAAATGTTTAGGTAATATGAGTAAGAAGAAAGAGAAGAAGAAGTTGAAAGATGAGGAGAAAGATGTCATTTCAAGAAAAGAGAAGGGAGAGAAGGTAGCATCGGGAAAAGTGAACGCCATTGGAGAATATGATGAACAAGGAGGAAGCCGTAAGTACAGTGCAAGGTTTGAGGCTGAGAGGGTTTGGTTGGAATTGTATAGAGTTGATAATTTGGGTTTTGGTAGGGTGTCCTTCAATGGAATCCAATCACTTGAGTAATGGTAGTGGTAACGGTAGGGGTATTTTGGTCAATACAATGATTAAGTCTTCGATTGATAACGATCTTAACGTGCCTTGTTTATATTGAAACGATATAAATGCACGTTTAAACAAGATTCAGAAAAGTTTATATTGCATTGTCTTGTTGTACATGATGCTCTATCTGAATAATGGATGATCGATTGGGTTTCAAATTTGTAAAGATCATTTCTATGACTTTTTTCTGAATAATTTTTTAATAGCAGTTATTAAACAGGGACTTGTTCGTTACTTTGGTTCTTTTTTAGATAAGAAAAATACAACTCTTGCTTAGATCTACTTGCTTCACAAAAAAACACCTACTATTCCATATGAATCTTGTGACTCATGAGTCATGCCAATCATAATTCATATTTCGTAATATCTATTCATTGTGTACACGTCGTTTATAAAATTCCATTAACATAACATTTTTGTGGTTATAGTTGACCAATAAATCATTTTTAGATTTAACAAATCTTTTGTGAATTTGTAGCACTTTGAATTTAGATTTAACAAATCTTTTGTAAATTTGTAAAGACAAAATTGCAAAAATGGTCCAATTAACATGAGTTCCAGCTATCATATTTATCTAAATTATTATTTTTAACAAAAAAAAAGTGAGATAGTATACTTCAGATGAAACAAAGACTACATGTTGGATCAAACATTGCAATTTTTACGGAAACAAAATAAAGTTTGAAGGTGATACAAAACCTGATTGAGAGCTTGAACACTATTTATGGGATCTGCAAATTCAACTACGAGTTCCGGGTAGCTTGTAGCTTGTGAAGAATTTGGTATCAAAGAAACGATCAATCTGAATTCAATAAAGTTCTTGAATAAATACAATGAGATCTCCTGTAACTAAGGAATAAAACAACTATCTACTTAATACATAGGAAGGGATAAATACGTAAATTAGGATAAGGGGAATAACAACTAATTAATTTCAACACTCCCCCTCAAGCTGGAGCATGAAGATCACGAATGCCCAGCTTGTTAAGTAAGAATTGGAGTCGTTCAGCACACAAAGGCTTAGTAAGGAGATCGGCAATCTGGTGTTTTGATTCAATGCGCAACGGCTTAATGTCATGGGAAGCCACACGTTCACGGACAAAATAGCAATCCATCTCAACATGTTTTGTTCGTTCGTGGAAGAAGGGATTGTTGGCTATGTGGCGTGCAGTTTGATTGTCGCAAAACAAAGGAGTAGGATCGGCTAGATAAATATTGAAGTCTTGCAACAGCCACCTGAGCCAAAGGACTTCACTAACAGTCGTTGACATGGCCCTATAATCGGCTTCGACAAAGGAACGCGAAACCACGGACTGCTTCTTTGTCTTCCAGGATACTGGGGAGTCACCTAAGAGTAAAATGTATCCGGTACGAGACCTACGTGTAGTAACGCAGCCGAGCCAGTCGGCATCACAATAACAGTCATCATGCCAGTATCGATCGAGCTCCATTCGAGATGTTATATGGTCGGAGGTGCAGGACCCCAGTGTGCTACGACGAGGTTGGTCATCGTGTGATGGGGAGCACGGAGGTGGTACTCAAGACCACCGGGTTGATTCAGCAGGTGCGCGACCGGTTGCGGGTCGCGTAGAGCCGTCAAAAGAGTTATGCTGATCGACGACGATCAGATCTGGAGTTTCAGGTGGGGGATTTTGTTTTGCTGAAGGTGTCACCCTGGAAGGGGAGTATCAGGTTTCGTAAGAGAGGCAAGTTGGGGCCTCAATTTATAGGACCGTTCAGGATCATAGCCCGAGTGGGCAAGGTAGCCTATCGCTTAGAGCTTCCAGGGGAGCTTAGTCAGATTCACAACACCTTCCACGTGTCTCAGCTTCGGAAGTGTGTTGCTGACGAGTCCGCGTTTATATCCTTGGACGATATTCGGGTGGATGGGGGCCTGAATTATGTCGAGAGGTCGGTTGCCATTTTAGACAGGAAGACGAAGGGACTTCGGAACAAGGAAGTAAAGTTGGTAAAGGTGCAATGGCAGCATCGAAGGGGCTCCGAATGGGCTTGGGAGCCAGAAGAGGAAATGCGGGAGCATTACCCCGAACTGTTCTCAGCTGCAGATTTCGAGGACGAAGTCTAGTTCAAGTGGGGGAGAGTTGTAACATCCAAAATTCTGGTATGTCTTGAAACCCTAAGAAATGATAATTTTTGCATAATTGGTCCCTTAAGTACGTTGGGCGTACTTAAGTGTACGCTTAGCGTACTGCATGGAAGTGGTCGCGGAGGATTCAGGGTACGCCGGGCGTACCTTGAGTTACGCGGGGCGTACGCGCCAGGGACGCAAAACCCTCATTTTCCGGACTTGAGGCCTATTTAAACAACTTTAAGTCCCTTGGACTAAACCCTAGAGAGCCTCCACAGCCATAGAACGTCCATATACTCCTGGAAACCTTGTGAGATCATTCTTAGGCCTTAAAGAGTGCATTTGTGGCCTTTTTGTGTGTATTTCAAGAAGAAGGGGTGGTCAAGCAAGCTTGGATCAAGAGGGTGCTTCAAGATCCTGCACCAAAAGCATCTTGCAAAGCTTCTGGAGGTAAAAAGCTTGCATCTTTCCTTTCTAATCTATAGATCTAGCTAGGGTTTTGGTGGTTTGTCCCTTTTATGAACTTTGGACCTCTTTTGTGGAGTTAAGCCTTCCCTTTTGATATGAAAGTCAGATCTGAGGTCCCCTAGTCATTTAGAAGTATAAAAATGGAAGCTTGATGAGAGATTTGACCTCATGCTTTGGTAAAAGACCTTGAAAAGGTCTTAATGGAGTGGTTGGGTGTGTATGAGACATGCAAGGGCATAAAGTTGCCAACTTTATGCCTTAGGACACCTTTTCAAACTTAGATCTAGCTTTTGGACGTGAGGGATTCGAGCATTAAGCACTTAATGGGAAAAGTGCTTAATACGGTTGTACGCTGGGCGTAACTGTCTGTACGCAGCGCGTAGTCGCTAAATCTTCAGTACGCTGCGCGTACCAGGGAGGTACGCTGGGCCTACGCAGCTCAGTTGGGCCCTAAGCTGTTTTGGGCCTTTAGGCCTTTGGGCCTCAATTAGCTATTGAGCTTGATTGAATTCTGTAAGATTGAGGCCTTTTCATCTGTTTGGGCCAAGGACTTATTGGTTGGGCCTTGTTGGGCCAAGGGGCCCATTAAGGATATTGGACTTGAATTTTGGGGCCCATTTGCAAGAAAAGGGTAATTGGGCCTTGGGGGTAGAGTTTGAAGGTCGGGCCTTTCCTTGGGTAATTTAAGGTCTTATCATTGATTATATATTATTGTTATTATTCAGCTTGGGAGGTTGCGGATTATTGGGAGGGCAGTATTTGTATTCATCGGACGGAGGTGAGTCTTCTCACCATACCTATGGGTCTACGGCACCAAGGTCGGCCCATTATGTGATCATGTTATGTGTGTGTTATTCATTTATGGATTGATATGTTATGTGATACGATGTTGGTATAGAAGATCCCAGGGGGAGCCCGTGGCATTGGATATAAGACCATGTGGGGTAGCCCATGGCAGTCCTAGGTAAAGACCATGTGGGGTAGCCCATGGCATTGGATGTAAGGCCATGTGGGGTAGCCCATGGCAGTCCTAGGTAAAGACCATGTGGGGTAGCTCATGACATTCTTGCTGAATCATATTGCATAGTTTCTGTGGCATGTTTATAACTTATTTAGCTATCAGGATATGTGTATGTGAATGTGTGTGGTATGCTCTGGGAAACTCACTAAGCATTTCGCTTACAAGTTGTTGATTTGTTTCAAGTACTTCTGAGCCTAAGGGCAAGGGCAAGGTGTGATGACGTGGCCTGCACTCTATCTCTCTTTTGATGTGTATGGGACCCTCTGATGTTTTAAAAAGGAAAAACAATGATGTAATGAATGTTGATTTGAAAACAAATGTTTTGGGATTTTATGGTTTATGAGATTGGTTTTGGTTAACTAAAAATGAAATTTTTTCTTGGTAAAATTAGTTCGTTACAGATAACATCATCAACATAAATAAGAATAGCCGCAAACAAATTACCCTCTTGAATCGTAAAAAGGGAATGATCAACTCGTGACTGCTTGTAACCAAAATTAACTAAAGCGTTAGTAAACTTTTGGTACCATGTGCGCGAGACCTGCTTTAAGCCATATAAGGACTTCTTCAACGTGCAGACACGAGTGTCATTCTGTTTTGAAAACCCCTGTGGAATTTTCATATAAACATCTTCTTCCAATTCACCATGTAAAAAGGCGTTATTAACATCCAATTGATGTAGATTCCAATTCCTTTTTTACAGCAACTGTTAAAAAACAACGAACTCTCACGAGCTTAGCAACGGGAGCAAAAGTGTCGTGATAATCAACGCCTTCAATTTGGGTGAAACCCTTTGCTACTAAACGCGCTTTATATCTTTCGATGTCGACATTAGGTTTATACTTAATCTTGTAGAGCCATTTAGAGTCAATAGCATGTTTGCCTTCCGGAAGGTTTTCTAGGGACCATGTATCATTTTTTTCAAGGGCTTCAATCTCATTTTGCATGGCTTTTCGCCACTTGGCATCCTGCATGGCTTGATAAAAAGTTTTGGGCTCACTATTTTTTGTAATGGCCGCCAAGTAAACTTTATGTGAGTCAGAAAAAGCATCATATGAAACATAGTTAGCAATGGGATATACCGTCAAAGAAGGCTGATCAGGAGCGGTTTGAGTGTGGTCTATCGAAGGTGGCAGTTCAACATTAAAATCACGGAAATGTGCTGGTTGACTTTTGTTTCTTTTTGGTCTAGCTGGCTGATCTTCGTTGTCGACGGGTGAAGTACTCGGTTCCTCTTCAGGTATGTCTTGTGTAACTGATTTGTGAGGTTCAGACGGGCTATGAACTTCACTCTCATCTTCAACAGTTTGCCTTGTGAAATCGCTTGAAGAATAGGTTTCCTCATCAACCCGAAGATCCTCTTCACCAAAACCACTTTCAATGGTA